GGCCGTCAGCAAGACGAAGCCGGCAGAGATGGTGATTGACGCCTACAGCCATGGGCAGCGCAGCTTCGGGGAGAACTACGTGAGTTGGCTGGGCACGGTGGGTCTGGGCACGGTGGGTCTGGGTGGGCCCCCACGCTGGAGGCAGGCACTGGGCTGAGTTATGGCATCAGGACTCTATTTATGAAGCTCACGTTGGTGCCAAGAGCACCCATTTCAAAGAGGCCGTTCTTGTGGCACAGGCACGTCTGGCATGGTTTTAATGAGAGATTGTCTTGATTTCTCCCAGGTTCAAGAGCTGCTGGAAAAGGCATCAGACTCCAGAGTGAGTACACAGTTCCTTACATATCCTCTCTCCCTGTATAGCTGTGTCCTGAGAGCTGTTCAGCAAAAGTCCTGGGTTTTGTTAAGGTTTGGTGGTGGAGGTTGTTTGATCCTTGTCTTTTCAGATCAATGGTGCGGTTATTCTTAGCTCTTTGCCTCTGCCCTGTTCCCCCTCCTTGCCTTGCTGGCTCCAGAGGATTCTGTGAATACGTGTGCCTTAGTCATAAAGTGTTTGTCTGAAGAGCACTTTACCTTTTGTGTGTTCTCTGTGGGAGATGCACAGTCCTCATTTAAAAAAATGGCAACACTCAGTCTGGGGAAGGTCTCAGTTTATGACTGTTCAGTTGCAAAAGAGCTTTACCTGCCCCTGTAGTGCTCTGCAGCCACTGCCCTGTTCCCCTCCAGACAGTGAAGCAATCTCGGTGTGCACACACACACTGTCTGCGCTCTGTCTTTCGGGGTAAACAAAAGAAGATTTGGTGTCTGGTATTTTGTTTGTGGGCAAACTAAGGCTTAAGTACTCTGTGGAGGAAGAGGGAATTGTTCAACCTAACTGCTCCCCTCTGCTTTCAGATTCTGTCCTCGTGTCCAGAGATTAAGTGGCATTTTATTGGCCATCTGCAGAAAAACAACGTCAACAAGTTGATCGGTAAACTCTCTTTAATTTTATGAGCAGTGACCCTGTGGACAGTAGTCTTCCAGTGTTCAAATAATAACAGCCTCGTGTACATTAACTCACCAGTGCCTGTCTCTGGGAGGAAGCTGTGGTGTAGGTACAAAAGGGTCTGTGCCAGCAGAGCTGCCCTCAGCCTGTGCTTTCTCCCCAGCTGTCCCCAACCTGTTCATGTTGGAAACGGTGGATTCGGTGAAACTGGCAGACAGAGTCAACAGCTCGTGGCAGAAAAAAGGCTCCTCTCAGAAGCTGAAGGTCATGGTGCAAGTTAACACCAGTGGAGAAGACAGTAAGCGGCTTTTTCTGGTGATAGGTAGGTTTGTCCTGCTGCCTTGATAGACACAAATCTCCCTGCTTCTTGCCAGGCAAGCACGGCCTTCCTCCCGAAGACACCGCGGCTGCTGTGGAGCACGTCATCAACAAGTGTCCAAGCCTGGAGTTCGTGGGGCTGATGACGATCGGCAGCATTGGCCATGACCTCAGTAAGGGCCCGAATCCTGACTTCCAGGTAGGATTTCCTAAAAGAAAACATCGATTTTGGCTGGCCTCCCATTGCAGTCTGTTGTCTGTCCCAGCCAAACCAGTACACAGTCAAGCTGTAAGTCTGTATACTGACAATCAAAACGCCTTGTTCAGAGTAGTAGAGACCTCATGTGTCAGTGTTGTTGCGGGTGTTAGGCTCGTTTCTGCAGAGGCTGGATGCCTGTATGTATTCCATCCCATCCTCTGAAGCTGCAGTCAGGATGTTGACAGGGGCACCTGGAGCAGCAGTTGTGTCCTGGACCCTCTGGTCCTGCTTTCTGCTGAGGTTTCAGTCAGTCTGTGTGCACAGGGCTGCGCTCCTCGTCTGTCACGCTGCTGTGATAGCAGGATGTCTTCAAAGCTGTGCAGACTTGTAAGCGCGTGCGTTGTCAGTAACGTAGCCTGCAGTAGGAAATCTCTGATGCTGCAGCAGGAAATCTCTGATGCTGCAGCACAAGCTTCAGTGGGAAGTGTGGGAACTGCACGCTCTGTGTGAAGGAGACCTCAAAGAAGGGAGAAATCGTGATCTGTGAAACCCTGAAGCTGAGCTGGGGTGGCTGTCACGCGTGCGATCCTCTTCTTCCTCCTCCCTTCTAGATGCTGCTGTCATTGAGGCAGGAAGTGTGTGAAAAGCTGAATCTCCCCGTGGAGAAGGTTGAGCTGAGCATGGGCATGTCCACAGACTTCCAGCACGCAGTGAGTCTGGCTTCCTTCTGCCACCCCAAACCTACCAGCACTGGCTGTAGGCACCCCAAAGTCCCTCTTAGGCCTCCCCTTGGGCGGAGATACTGATGGTGCTGTTCAAAAAACAGCTCTCCCGGTCCTGGGACAGAGTTTTGGGGATCAAAACAGACCCTAGCAGTAGCTGTGGGCAGCAAGTACATGGGGAACTATCCTTTGGGACGTGGTGAGCATCAGGGTTGGGTGTGGACGGTGTTGGCAGGTGTGGGTGGCAGCACCTGACCTCCTCCTTTCTGTCTCCGTAGATAGAGGTTGGATCCACAAACGTCAGGATCGGAAGCACTATTTTTGGAGAGCGAGATTATTCCAACAAAGCAGATGGTGGCAAGGCTTCTGCCGAAAGCAAAGCCAAAGCGGAGACCTTGACAGCGCAGGGTCATTAGGTGGAAAGGAGCGGCCTCGGCAGAGGACAGGAGTGGGAGACCTCACTATGCATTCGTACCTCCCTCCGCGTCAGCACCCGATGGCGACGGTGAGAGGGAATTCCTCGTAACAGAGCAGAGGCCTGAAACGCCTCGTCATTTATTGTGATTGTAGAGTATCCATAGGAACTGGAAACTTTTATAACCAACAAATGGTAAGAGAATGTCTGGTTGGAAGTGACTGTGGTGTCTTGGCTCCTTCGGGGCCGTTACAGCAGGGACTTGTGGATAACTAGCTTGAGCAGCCGCAGTCTGTCAGGATGGAGTTGCTAATGAGCGAGATGTATCTGCAGCAGTGATTGTGTCTTCACTGGGGACTAAATTCTTCATTAAACAAGTTCTGATCTTGCCAGAGACCCGTGAGTGTTTCCCCAGCAGACGTTTTGCACGTGGTCACTACTGAGGGACGCTGACGTAGAAATGATAGGGACAGGGACCGCGTCCGTTGGAACGGGAGCAGTAACAGCGCATGAGGACGGATCAGGAGCGCAGCTGGCAGTGGGACTCCATGGCGCCTGGTTTTGGAGGCAGATCACGAGCGTGGGGGTGTTTTCAGCTGCAGTTTATATCTGTCCTTTCCAGGCAGACGCTGCTAACCCTTCCCATGGGTTCTGCGTCTCCTCACATCATCTGGGACGCTTCCAGCCTTCCCCTTCCCCTCTAGTGAAGTGTTGTTAGGAGTTATTTTCACCCTGCCTAGTAGTTCTTGACGCTGTGAGGTTTTTTTTCGGTCAGAACGGGGCTTTTCCTGCAAGCTCCTTGGGCTCCCATCAGCTTGGTGTTGCTTTCCAAGGCAAATCACGTAACTGGTGCCTCCACCGCCCCGTCCCCATCTGTATGAGGATAACCACGCTGGGCTCACCGGCCAGCAGGGAGGTTTGCCTTCCCTTTGGGGAAAGCGCTTCAGAAAGTGAGGTGTTGCAGTTCCACTGCTTTTTAGGGTCCTGAAAACCTCCTGCAGTGACTGTTTGATCCCGATATGAGCAGAAGCTGCTGCATTCTGTCACGTGCTGTTTGGCCAAGTCTCTCTTGTCACCCGTGTTACATTTTGGGGCTTCTCTGTGCTGCTGAGAGCAGGAGACACGGGTTGCCAGCAGGAACATCCTTCCCAGGCTTTTCTCTGTGCGTGTGTGGTTCAACCTCGCTGCTGGTCTCGCTGTCTGGCTGCAAACACTGAATGTAAATGAAATGAGCCAGCACCAACACCAACCTGTCATAGCTACGTGGTTTAGAAGCAAGGTGCAGGCTGAGCCGCCCTCCTCGGCGCTGCGCCCCGTGTTGTTCCATAGTCCATTAATAAAAAGTGGTGACTTGGAATACCATCTGTGCCAGCTATAAAGCTATTAAAGATGTTATTTTTACGTCCCGGCGTTGTGAGTAAATGCCCTGAGTTGTCATTGGTGCTGTTCCCTACCGCGGACGTGCTCATCTCGTGGAGGGAGCAGAGTGGTTTGACAGACAGCTGAGATGGAGCTGGCAAGCGAGGATCAGAAGGGGAAAGCAACACCTGGAGCTGGGCGAGCTGCCGGTGGCCGCGCTGTTTCCGGAGGAGCCCTCTGGGTGGCGCTGCTCCCCCGGCCGGGGCAGCCCCTGCTCCTCGGCTGCTGCAGGGCAGGTACGGATCGGAACGAGCCTCAGACCCCACTGTGATTTCCATCCGGAGTGAATCCCTGCCTCTTGCGCCCCTCTCCTCGCAGGGTTTCAGCATCGCGCGCTGACTGCAGAGCCTGGCGATTGCAGATTTCACCCGATTTTGTATATTTTACAGTACAGAGTCAAAACTCAGTCCACAACTCCCAGGTGAAAGCCTGCCCTGTAGTGTTTGCTTGCTGCTTGTCCAGCGTTGGCCCCCTCTCCCCATAGCCGATGAGGAGCGATGGTGATCTGCGACCTGAGCAGGCGGTGCTGAGCCTGAGGGGGTGACTGGGGACCCCCTGCTCTGCTCCCCCCTCACTGACAGCCCTCGCCCACCAGCCTGGGGCTCCAAAACCAGGCACAGCTCCTTCTGTTGGAGCACAGAGCAGCGGGGTGGGTTTACACTGAGAACTGTCTTGCGATGTGGCTCTCGCTTTTCCTCTCTCAGGCGTTCTGTGCTGATTTCCTGAGCTGAAGCTGGGCACTGGCCAGGCTTAAGGAAGCAGTAAACGGTGCAAATGGGAGGTGAGTGTGCACGGGCGGCTGTGAGCAGGGCAGGGCTTGTCCTGGCTCCCCTGCCCTCAGCAGTGTTCAAGGAGCAGGCTGGTGTTTAAGGAGCAAAGCAGCTCACAAGAGCGTGTGGTCTTCTGGTTTTCCAATCGCCTGCTAAAGCGTTCAGGGCTCCCCCAGCTTTGACGGTGGCCTCCTGCGTGAGGCCGTGCGCGTCTCGGTGGCCCTGGGGTTGCTGCTGGGGACACCTCTCCCCTCCAGCTGTGGAACCGGTGCTGGGCTGTGCCAAGGCACTGAGAGGAGCATGAACTTCTCCTCCCTTGCTCTGCAGCTGTTTCTCTCTCCCATCCTGCTTCCAACCGCCTTTTTTCTCATGCCCCAGAGCTTTGCCGTGCTCCTCCCATGGCCCAGCCTCCCCGGTGCCGCTGCACCGATGCCTTGGGAGCTGCGGGGCCACGGTGCGGGTGAGGCCGGACACCGGTGCGGGGGGAGCGGGGCGCAGACCACCCATCCTCCCGCAGGGGTCAGCCGGCAGATGGGAGCTGTTGGCCACTGGAGTGCGGCCAAGGAGCCGGAGATGAAAGGCTCCCCGGCCGCTTAATGAACCACCCCCCGCATCACGGGCTTGATTTACATCTATTAAAAGCACTTGGACGGTTTATTGAAGCAGCGGTGCTCCTCAGGCAATGTCACTGTCAATATTTGCCTTGGAGGAATGCGGCTGCAGGGCTTCCTCCACCTCCTCCACCTCCTCCTCCTCATGACTTCAGCCCATGGGAGCACAGACCTGGGCCCGGGTTTCCCAGGAGGTGACAGCTCCACGCTGTACCTTGGGGCTGGCCAGGATGACCCCCCCAAAGCTGTCAGGAGCAGGACTTGATGTGCACTATGGAGAAAAACCCTTTCCAGGGCTTGGGGAGCCATTGGGAAACACTTGGCTGCCTCTAAACGGTGGATTATACGATGTGCTGCTGCCTCCCCTTTCCTGGGGAGCAGGGCTGCCCCTCTGAGACCATCCTCGTCCTCAGGGCAGTGCTGGCACCAAAAAAACTGCTCGAGGCCCTCTCGACGCTGCTGAGCTCCGCAGGCTCTGGTTTCCCGTTGGGCATCGCTCGCTCCCCTTCCTCGGCAAAGGATTTATTATTTAATCCAAAAGCTGGATTTATTTTTTTTATCAGATAACATCCTCCACGTTGCAAAGCCCCGGAGCCGAGCGCGGCCTGGGTGCCAAAGCGCGGCGCGATGCACGCAGCAGATGTGCAGGCTCTGCGAGCGGGGAGGGCTTGGACGTGAAACCATCCGCACCCCGACGCGAAGCACCCAGCACCTCATTGCATGAGAAAATCGAGGGGTTTGGGTCGGTTCCCTGCTCTGCTGTGGGCAGGTGAGAGCCGGGGGGGTGGCCGGGAGCCGCTCGGCCCCAGAGCAGGGCCCGCTGCAGCCCTTCAAAGCGTGTTTATCCCTGCCATATCGGGTTTCCGGCAGGAAGGCCGGCAACTGCCAAGGTTTTTATTGGATCCCAGTGAAAGGAATTCAGGGAGTCCTGCGCTTGTTGTCTTTCCCTGCGCCCGCAGTGGTTCAGGAGCACTTTTACCTTTGAACGGCACTGAGGGGATGGAGTTTCGGACAGGTCACCTTCTTGTGTCCACACTGGGGAAGGGGCTTGGATGCGGTTGAAAGACCCCGAGCTCCGTCAGCTCAAAGCGCGTGGGAGGTGTTGCTGAGCTCCTCTGGTCGTGGGGCTGGGTATTGCACATTTGTTCCTGGTTTGGACAAGGTTCTGACTGTTCTTGGAGGTAATTTTACAGGAGATTGACGTTCTGAAGACCACGTACAGCGGCTGGATTGCTTCAACGTGGCGTGGAGACAGCTCCAGAGCCCTGGTTGGCCTTGGAAAGGCTGTTCCCTCAGGGATGAGGTGCTGAGATTGTGGGTCTTGCTCCCAACCCTCATGCTGATGATGCTCTGAGGGTCCTTGCAAGCGCTGCAGTTCTTGGAGACGAGGATTTCTTACTTTAGGGCTCAATCCAGCAAAAGAAGGTGGCTGAGCCTTGTGCACTGCAGCATTTCAGGGTCACATCCCTGTTTGGTGCTGGGTTTGGTGTCCTATGGGTGCCAGTTTTCCAAATCAGCCACCAGCCAAGGGGTCTCTTCTGTCCCTTGCTGGGGACACCAGTGGGCTCCAGCCCATGGGCTCATCTCAGAACAAGGAGGGAAAACCACTCCTGCTTTCTGCCGTGTTTCAGTGGGGTCACAGCTCAGCATTCAGGGTTTTGGGAGGGGTTTCGTGCTGTGCAGATGCTCGCAGGGGCTCTGAGCGGATACTGGACACAAGTGGTTTCCTGTTGCTCTTCCAACTTCAGCTGCGGGCTCTGGGACCAGCATCCTGCAGCACTGGAGGGCGATTTCTGCAGTGGAAACTTTGCTCAGCGGAAAAAAGGAAAAGAAAAACAAGAGGTGAAGATGCGGGTACACTGTTTGTTGTCGTTTATTTGCTAACACAATGATGCTGGTCTCCAGAGCTCTTGGGTCCTACAGCTGATCCCCCTGGGACTAAGGGGTGGGAGGACTGCAGGGGGTGTGACTGGACATAGAAGAGCTCTTGGAGCCACATCCTTGTCCCTTGTGGCCACGTCCTTGTCCCCTGTCCCTGCCCGGCCGGAGGCAGCAAGCACCAGGGCAGGGAGGAGCTGGAGCAACGAGGCCACTGCTGGTTAAGGCGAACGAGCTGAGTGGGAATGGGCTGTTTTGCTCCCAAACAAAAGCACATGTGTAAACAGCCTGGGAGAACACTGATGAGCATCTCCTCCTTCTGACGCCCACCGCCACAGCGAGTTGTGTTTATTTGGAGAAAGGAGTAAATTTCTTTTCCCCTCCAGGAACTA